AGGTCGAAAATGGTACGAGTCGTTTTTGAAAAGGCATCCAAATTTAAGCGAAAGAGTTGCACAAAATTTAAAACCAGCCAACGAAAAAGTTACTGAATAACAATTGTGGTTTCGGGAAGTGAAAGAATACTTGCAGTCAAAAAATGTATTTGTCGCAACGGAGAATCCTTCCAGAGTATTTCAACTCTGATGAGAGTGCTTTTTTTCTTCAACTAAAAGTGATAAAGTCCTTGCACGAAAAGGGGATAAAAGCGTGTACAATGCTAGAACCAACGACGAGGAAGAAAATTTAACTGTATTAGTCACCGCCAATGCCGCTGGGACACTAGCTCCTCCCATGGTGGTGTTTAAATATGAACGCATTCCAAGTCATGTAGCTGTCAGTATCAATAAAAGTTGGGGAATAAGCCGTTCCGAAAGTGGATGGATTTGTGGAGCAACTTTTTTTGAATACATAACAAATGTGTTTGTACCATGGCTAGATCAGAAAAAAATTGAGAGACCTATTAATATGTTTATTGACGGTCATGTGTCGCACATGACATTACACCTATCAAAGTTTTGTTCAAAAAACGGAATAGAACTTTTTGCATTGTATCCAAACTCTACACATTTAATTGAACCTATGGATGTGGCTGTATTTAAGCCGCTAAAACAATTTTGGAAAAAATCTGTAAGAGATTGGCACATTGAAAATCACGGAAAAATATTGCGAAAAGAAAATTTCGGAAAAGTGTTTGAGGAAGCGTTATCCAAAGTTACAGGTAAAACAATTCAACATAGATTTAGGGCATGTGGACTTTCGCCGTTTAATGTAGAAAATGTAAAAATTTCAAACCCGTCGACAGAAGTTAATCAAACCAGAATAATAGAAGGGTTGGCAGTTTTGGAAAAATTTATTCCCTCAGAAAAATTAAAAAACTTTCGAACAAATTTTGATACTGCATGGACAGGTAATATGGAAGACGTGTCACTATTTAATGTAAGGAACACAGCGGAAAAAAAATAAAATAGAATCCGCTTTAGGTGTCGAACCATTAGAAAACATAAATAAAAGTGAGAACCAAAATTGCAACAAGAAAGAAAATGATCTTGTAGAAAACATATTAGACAACTCGAGACCAGGACATTCTGGCCTTCAACAACAAAGAGTTGACTTTGATATGACCCCATTAAAAATTGTTATACATTCTGATGTCAATATTACACCTCCTACTGTATCACAAAGCGATAGATCTCCTTTAAATTCATTGGAAAATTCAACGCCGTTCAATGTAATATATTTAAAGAAACAAGTTCCCACTCCATTTAAAAAGCCTTGTTTTGGCCGGAAGAAGTAAAAAAACACAAAAAAAAGAATAAAGAGCAAATTCCTTGTGCTATTACGTCAGAAATTTGGCAAAAATACCACATAAAAAAGGATTATGAGAAAAAGAGAACAAGAAGAACAACAAAAACGGGCAGAAGAGAGAAAGCGAAAAAGGGAAGAAAAAATTAGAAAAATACAAAACAAGGCTAAGTCAGTAAAGAGGGAAAGTTCATCCGAAAACGAAGAATGGATAGAAAGTGGGGACAGTATTGATGATGTCAGTATCAATTTAGAAAATGAAGAAAAGAACGAAATACCAATCAAATACGACGATATCCATGTAGGAGATTTTATTTTAGCGAAATTCTTAGGAGGAAAGAGAAACACTTTTTTTTATAGGTATATCTGTGTGGTTCGGAAGAAATATTCCCGAAACGATATTGAAGTTATATCCCTTAAATCAACAAATGAAACGAATACCTTCAAACTTGTTGATAGTGATATTTCAACAATCAAGATAGAGGATATCATAAAAAAGTTATCCCAACCGGAACTACACAATGTCGGCGACAGAATAAAATGTGTTTTCAAAAAATATTGATATTTTTGAAGCCTAAAGCACCCATAAATTTTCATTTTTTGTTTTATTTTTTTGTGTTATGAATTTGCTATTTATTTTTATTTACTTAGTGTATTCAAAATTAAAAGTATAATACAAATTTGTGTCAATAATTGGTGTGTACATCAAAACACTTTTTTTATAATATTTATTTCATGAAAAGCAAAATTATTAGAACTAAAAATACATAACTAATGAACTCAAGAAACTATAAGCTACAAGAAAAAATCATATTATACCCAGGCAGCACATATTAGTATAACTAACGTATTTTATACGTAATACTCGTTTAATTTTGGTATTGGTTGATTCCGTATACGTTTACAGTTTACGATTATTATACATACCGTGTTTTAAACGACATATTATACGTTTTTCATATACATCCTATGGTATATAATTGTAAATTTTTCTACGTTTAAATATAGTTAACAATATACGACTATTTTTAGTTTGCAATGAACTATTTATATACAGTGGGCCTAAATATACGTTTAGGTTTATTTAAATTAAATTCGTATAAATTTACATTATATTACAATATGTTTTCTTCGTTTATAATTCCCGTTTAAATTTCGTCTTGGTTGATTTTTTAAACGTTTACCATCAACCATTTTTATACCTAACGTTTTTTAACAGATAAATTAAATGCTTTTGTTTGTCGATACTAGTTAATATACCTATATTATTCTACGTTTAAATGTAAGTCACCTTAATCGTATAATAGCAGTTTACGATGAACTAGTAGACAGAAGTAAATAATATGTATATATTTAGGTTTATTTAAATTAACAGCTTATAGATATATTTATTTACATTACATCCATATTTTTTTAATTATATTACCTGTAATATTTATAACAAATTCCCCATACACATGGAACTATTTTTAGATGGCGGATGGAGGATGACGTACTAGTGGTACGGTCTTTTCTCATTCCTACTCATGCGTATGTGTAGTATTATTGTTTAGTGTAGGGAATGGTTTGTGGGAGCAGGTTCATCGGTTGGTCCATTTTCATTTGTGTTCACGTTTTGTTACATGTTGCTTTGGCGTCCTGGCTTTTACGATATTGATTAAAAGCATAGGTAAGTTTCTATTAATGTTTTAATTTAGCTACTCCTTTAATAATTGTTGCATTTTACAACAACTACTGTTTTATAGGTACGTACAGTGTGTTAATACTTATAGAAACTTCAAAACCTAACCTTACTTTTGTTTCTTTTATGTTTATACGTATTTTTTAGGTTACCTAGTTATTCCAAGCATACTTATTTTCCTTTTTTTGGTCAGTTGTTTTTTATTTAATAAAATGTCTAAAATAACCCTGTCTCTGCGTCATCTACGTAGAAAAATAGCTCAAAATGTTCAAGATGCTTTAAAGTCAAACCAATTTTTTTTTATTCCCAATGAAGATAATATTAATAAGGCTTCGGACATTAATATATCATCTGATTCTATTATTTATAATAATTTCCAAGAAAATAATACAAATTTAACTTCGGAGCTTTTAGAAAATATTTCACCTGAAATTTAGTTAAATTTTGGTTATAGGAATGGGGGTGAACCAAGCGACTTAACCGACCGAACGATTAGGTGTGCCATGCAAGATTAGCTTAAGTTAGCTAAGGCCCGTCTAGGACACAACACATCCAAAGTGTTAAGCTAAGATTTTTATTTTCATATATATTTTTTGTTAGTTAAAGAAAAGTTTCGTTTAGTTTGTTATTCAGTATTTTAGTGTTTATTTTTTTGTATATTTTAGTATTTGTTTATTTTTTTTTTAATTAAATATTGTTCTGTACATATAACAAGTGATCAAAAAAAATTTCTAAATATTTAGGCCAATAACAACCAAAATAGAAACACGAGTAATGTCTATTTCTGGTGTATACACACCTGCTATGGATAAAATCCAAACTATCATTTAAGAAATATTAACATTTTTCCATGGCATCTTTTAGACATTTTGTTTTGATCACTTTATTTAATTTGTGTTTGAAATACATTTAAAACAATATCAGGTAGACGCATTTTACACATTAATAAAAATCATACAAATATATCTAATATAGACGTATAGTGAAACAGGATAATTAAAGGTAGATAAAGTAGTAATATTAGACGTATAAAAAATAAAAAAATATACGTTTATAGGGCGGACATTTTCACGTATATATTGGATAGCATATCAACAGTATCCATACGTATATTGTAGTACATAAAAAACGTATTTTATACCAAAGTGAATTCGTATAAATATACTACAACTATAAATCTAATATAGACGTATAGTAAAAACGTTTAATTATAGGTGGATAAATTCTTAGTAATCGACGTTTATTAGGCGGACATTTTCACGAATATATTTGGTAGTACATCAACCGTATTCATACGTATGGTAGTACCTAAAAAAATACGTAATTTATACCAAAGTGTGCTGCCTGGGTATGCTTAATTTTTTTTGTTATTGGTGAAAATAATTATTTAATACAAATCAGCGTCTAATAGTGTCAATTATTGGTGCAGTTACCTTATTGCCAACGAAAATACTGAAAACTTCAAATTTTACACTTCCTGAAATTTTTTCATTACGGTCTATTTTAGAGAAATCATGTATACAACTTTTATTTGAACAATTTTCCTAAAAATTCGAATTAGCACTTTTGTCAAATTTTTCGAATACGGACCATTTTAGGAAAATTATGTATAGGACAAAAATAGAAAATAAAGCAATTTTTATTTAAATAATTTTCTTCTCCAAGCGTAAATAACAGATATATTCCATAAAGTAGAAAAACTACCCCCTATAAAGTACCCCCAGATTTTCCGAATATGCCCATCTAATCAGTTCACTTCAAAGTGCATTAAAGATTAAATTTAAAATTTGGTATTTTTCTCTGTATCCGTTCATGAGTTATCGAGTATACAGACACACAGACATCATGGCGAAAATAGTCAAAACGGATTCAGTGGATCCCAAAACGTAAAAATCCCATCGAAAAAATCATGATTCCTTATCTGTATACAGACAAGAAAGTAAAAATGTTAATAATTATTAAGTAGCGTACCTTTCATGAGTTGTAAGATCAGATTTGTTTTTGTAGCATATCCAACGTCTCCCAAGAAGAATGCAGTTTTTCCCATCGCTTTAAAGCACGACTGGCAATCTACAAATAATGATTTATCTCCAGCAGTTAACACTACGAGGCTTCCTTCGTCCGCTTCATTTTTGGATCCTTGCACTTGCGCTTCCAAATAACGACCACCTTTGCTTTTGATTATTTCGCACATATCTTTTGATGATTGCGGGTCAATGCTGGTCATTTCGACGTAACCTTTCCCGTGAAAACTATCTCCAACTTTGGTTATTCCACAGTTGCCGACAAGATTCTGTAACAAAACAATGTATTTTATTGTTCGACCTTATTAGCTAGTCAAATTTTGAAAGGAAACATTCGATATTTTGTTAAAAAAATAATAATAATTACAATAATATAAGAGTATCTTTCACCGAGAAAATAGCATCAGCTAAGCTTTTTTATCTGGAACAGTTAAAATATAACTTGTAATATTTAAATTTTTTATTTTAGATAAATGAAAAGTTCTGAAAAACACCAACTGTACAAGTTTAATGTTTATGTTGGAAATTGAGTATTAGTGACGCAAGGTACTGGTACTCCGTATTGTTGATGTACTTTTCGTTTTGTGTAACCTTGGTTTGAAAAAAGTTGACTTTATAATTTTTATGAATTGTCTATATAGTTTTATATTAAATAAATAAGTACGCCTCAAGCCTTTCCCCTCATTATTTGACGATCTCTGTCCACCTGGTAGGTGTACAAGCGCAACATTTGGTGACCCCGACGTGATATTTTTTTGAAGCTGCAACTTTGAGACATTCAGAAGAATACTAAGATGGAGAGGCTTTTGAAGGAGAAAGATATGTATAGCAACTCATTTGAGAGACATTTCGATGAAGTTCAGATGGAACTCAATAGAGATGAACCAGATATGTTCACGGTTCAAGGAACTATGAAGACCATTGGAGGTACATTTGAATCCCCGAATGAAATAAATAAGAAAATTATCGATTTTGTTTTGGACGATGATACTCTTGATGCCGATGTTGATAGAATGAAGTTTGAGATCGATGATGTTATTAAGCATTTTCACATACTGCAAATGAAAGTATTTTTAACTTCATAAAGATACAGCTGAGATGCACTCCATTAGAAGACTTTCTTCTACTAGAAATGTATGTCAGAGAAATTAGTTTTAAGCAGTTTAAATAATAAAACTAAACTAAGTGTTCTGTATGATAAGATGGAGACTCAATTACGAGCATTAGAAACATTAAATGTGATTACTGATACATTCTCTACCCACTAGTCGAGTCCTGTCTTCCAGAAGATCTTCTACATGTGTGGCAGAGTAGTGAATAATTTTCTTCAGATAATACTTTTCAAACAAAGTTGGAAAATATCATGAAATTTTTAAAACGGAAGGTGGAGAATGAAGAAAGGTTTTTATTGGCAACATCAAGTTTTGATCTTAATAAGCTTCTGGCCTATTGAATCAAAATAATCACCGCTGTATATTTTGTAAAAAAGAACATGCCAATGACCCATGTGACGAAGCAGTCCGAATGGCATTTTCAGAAAGAAAGAAAGAAAGAAAGAAAGAAAGAAAGAAAGAAAGAAAGAAAGAAAGAAAGAAAGAAAGAAAGAAAGAAAGAAAGAAAGAAAGAAAGAGAAAGAAAGATTATTTGGAGGTTTTCAATCTGCTCATGTTACCCACAGTTGTTTTAAAGCCATGTTACAGATGTCCTTCAAGAAGTCACTTGTGGCAACGTTTCATTTATTCGTAATGGTCCATGGATGAGTGAATTAAAAAATCTAGATATAGATGTGTCTGATACTTGTGACGGCACGGGAAAGTTGCTTACTGGCAGACGACACATCTTAGCAAGTGGTCTAATTGCTTTAGAAACCAAGTTAGGTTAGACATTAATGGGTAAAACTCCGAAAAATGAAAATTATTGTCCTTTAGACGTTACGTCCCTTCACTGTAAAGAGACAACCGTGGCTAACCTATGGGAATTAGATATATTAGGCATAACTGATCCAGCCATCGAGAAAAGTAGAAAAGAAATAGAAGAGGCAGTATTACAACATTTCTTGGAAAATATTACTAGACTAAATGACGGTCGATACGAAGTAAGTTTGTCGTGGTTATCAGATCATCCACCACTACCCAGTAATTTTTGTTTGGCAAAGAAACGAGTAGAAAATTTAAAGAAGAGGTTACAGAGAGAAGGATACTACCAAGATTACTGCCAGGTGTTTAAAGAATGGCTAGATAAGAAGATTATAGAAGAGGCCCCTGTAGATGAATATAATATAGAAGCCCACTATTTGCCACACCGGCATGTAGTAAAATTAAGCAGTGCAACAACTAAAATTAGGCCCGTCTTCGATGGTTCGACAAAAATGTCCAAATCTTCACCTTCATTAAATGATTGTTTAGAAAGAGGTCTCAATCTTATTGAGCTTATTCCTTCAATGTTGATTCGTTTTAGATTAAGGAGAATAGGAGTTGTGGCTGATATTAGAAAGGCTTTTCTTCAAATAAGCCTTAACATTTTCGATAGAAACTATCTACGTTTTTTATGGTAAAATGATCTAAAACTAGTATTTTATCGGCATGCGAGGGTTATGTTTGGCGCAACTTGCAGTCCTTTTTTACTTGGTGCAGTCATTGATTCTCACTTAAAAAATGCACTTGAAGAACCAAAATATTCTTTTTCGATTTTAAATGAGTTGATTAATAGTTTTTATGTTGACAATTGCATCACCAGTCTCGATGATGAAGATAGCCTTCAAAATTTTATTAGAAGTGATGACAGAAGGTCAATTTGATTTAAGGTTATGGGAATAAACGTTTGAAGCCCAGACGCAGAAGCATATTGTACATTGTAAATCAAAAATTCTGACAAAATGACTAAAAAAACTATTTTATCAGTTGCAAGTAGAATTTTCGATCCAATTGGTTTTGCTTGTCCATTTATAATTTTTCCAAAAATATTGTTGTAGAAAATTTGCCTTCAAAATTTTGATTGGATTTTCTAAAGTTTCAGAGTTTTAAAAGTGGTTGGAGGATGTTCGAGCTTTGAATGAACTAAAAATTTCAAGATAGCTAGTACAAGAAATTACTAAAGATATAAAAACTAGTCTTCATCTCTTTTGTGATGCTAGCCAAAAAGCCTATGCTGCAGTCATTTTTATAAGAACATTATCAACTGGAAATATACATTTGAACCATGTACAAGCTAAAAGCCGAGTTAACCCGATTAAGAAAATATCAATTTGTCGTTTGAAATTAATGGCAGAGACAATTGGAACTAGATTGTTAACTGTAGTCATGATAGAATTAAAAGGCATTAAATATATTGTTGGACTGATTCAACCACTATCTTATCATGGATAAAACGTAATGAAAATTGTAAGAAATAGGATTCAAGAAATTCAAACTATAACAGACAAAGAACGTTAGTATTATGTCCCTGGAGAGCTAAATTTCGCCGATCTTCCTTCCAGAGGATGTTCAGCGACTAAGTTAGTTCAGTCTAAATGGTGGGAGGGACCGATATGGTTACAGAAACTTATTACCGATTGGCCAACTCAAATTTATCCAGTGAATGAAGAAGTAATATCCAGTGAAAAAGTAAAAAAAATTGTTGGTTTGTTGCCTCACAATAAAATTGATATTTCTTGGATATATTGTTACTTTTCGAAGTTCAAGAAAATAATTAGAATTGTAGGGTGGATATACAGATTTATTTTTAATTGCAAGAATTCTAATAAAATCAACGGTGAACTTTCAGTCGAAGAAACCGAATATGCTTAAAATTCTGTAATTAGATTAGTGCAGCAGGAAGCATGCGATGGCACGAAGGAAAAACAATTCGGTACCTTGGCTTTATATAAAGATAAGGAACAAATTTTGGGATTACGCACCAAAATTTCAAAACGTGAAGATTTTGAAAGTTTTCGTTTTCCAGTACTATTACCAGCGGAACATTCTGTCGTACGTAGACTTATACATGATAGACATATTGACCTTTATCATGCAGGTGTCCAAACCCTTTTGAGTGTTTTACGTGAACATTATTGGATTATTAGACTATTAGAAGCGTAATTTCGAAGTGCGTAGGAATCAGGAAAAAATATGGAAAGCTGCCCAGTTGCATTACCTAGAGACCAAGTTAAAGATACATCTGTCTTTGAAGTAACTGGAGTAGATATGGCTGGACCTCTTTTCTTGCGAGACAAAACAAAGGGTTACGTTGCTCAGCCTTTCAGTATTCGTGATTAATCGCATTAAAAACCGATTTGCTCCAAGAGGCATCTCTACTACAGTGAGGGACAACGTTCTGTCGCCAAGTTTTGTGTAACAGAAATAGGACAGTGGTTGATTTACCATGGGAGGTGTGAAATAATGGTACATGATTGGAGTTTGACGAATAATATGTGAAATTATTTGAAGTTATGTACATATTTATTAGATTATTTATGACCCGTGACCAGGGGCGGCTTGTGACCAAAATTTTGGGGATTCACAGTAGCAGAATATAGATCCCGGTACAGATATAGGTAAAAAACTGTCAGTGTTTAAGAAAAGTATATTATAAACTTTCTAAAACACTGAATGTTTTTTCATACATCTGTACTGATACCTATATTCTGTCACTGTGAACCACCCCACGAGCCGCCACTGCCCGTGACCTAGATTTAATTAAAAAACTAAAAATTCATGATTTGTCTTTAAATAGTTATCGGCAAATAGTTTTATGATAATAAAAATATTGTAGGGAAAAATATAATACGATTTGAATAATCTTTTTTAAAAATTTTTCTGAGACGGGAAAAAACTTTTGAAGTTTTATATCTCTTGTAAGGTAACACAATATCACTTTTTATGAAATTACACTTTTTTCCCCGTTTCCCGGGAAAAAAGTTTCTCCGGGAAAAAAGTGAGTACTTTTTAACCTCGAGCTAAAATCTAATACTTTTTTCCCTTGTATAATAAATAACTATTCAAAGAAATACAATAATTGTAACGTCTTTATTTAATGAAAGTTAATATCAGACTAAATGCAATAGTATATTACATTACGAGTGTGGAAAGTGACATTTTTCACACGAGTGGGAAATATTGTCGCACGAGGCGTAAGCCGAGTGCGACTATCACACGAGTGTGGAAAATCACTTTTCACACAAGTGATGTACAATATTTTTCCTACGACCACAAAATAATTTCATCAAAAAATGTAAAACCAGATTATTATAATAATTAAAATGTATTTAAAAAAATAATCAACAATAATCGTA